TAAGAAAACATGTGCATGGCAGAGAGTCGATTGCCACGCGATACTACGGGCGATGCCACTAAATACCCGTCAAATTTTCAGCGGCCGAGTTAACTCGTTGATAGGAAAATCGAAACGGCGTCTATTCTCGAGATATGTCAGGCGCCGTCATTAAGCGATTAAATGTAAAGAAACAAAAGCATTTATGTTTTGCTAACCAGTACCTTATTATTTTTACTTGAAACCCGCTATCTTATTTTTGCTTGTACTGTCACTTTCGTCGGCTACCACCAAGATCCAAATAAATTAATATATATATAAAGGTAAGCACTGTCTTTGAGTTTAAAACAGTTTTGGGTAGCGAACGTTGACTGTCTTGGTACTATTTTTCTTCCAGCTTCTGAATTTGCTTGAATCAGTTTTATCTTTTGCTAGCCGTACTTACTGGAGTTAGTATCGAGGGCTTGAGAAAAAATGGTATAGGTACAGGCTATCATGCCAATCTGATATTTTAATACTTAAATTTTAATTTGACTTTTGTTTGTGCTAATCCCGCAAGTAGCGGAAGCCATTCTATTAATGCACAGATTGTGTAAAATTGTGTTAATACAGTGCCTGAAGAATGTTACTTCCCTGGAAGCTCAATAGGGAGCGGTAAGTTGCTTGACTGTCTTCACGAAGCTAGAGTTAACATTTATGGTAGTTAGGTTTAGTTCACATTTAGTTAAACTGATGATAATGATTAAGTTTCCTGATATCTTATTTAAGTATCCAACTGGAATTATGATTTCGTTTAAAAACTATAAAGTACCGAAGTGAGACTTCCGTGGGATGTGGCTGAATTTAAGCCCTGCATGAAGTCTAATTCATGACTGGTTATTTATCATAATGAAGAATAATTCATGACTGAATATTTGTTCTCATGAAGCAAAACTCATGATTGACTATTTGTTGTACAAAGCATAGTGTGGTGTAGTGGCCGAAACCGCTACGCAAACCCTGGTTATGACACATGGTTGAAATTAACTTCAAACTCAAGTTTTAACAATAACAGGAATTATTGAGATGAAAACCTTAACAGTTGCATATCCTGATAATATGGGACGTGGATATATTTTGTCCCGTAATTTCAGAATTTTGTTACAGGAAAAATGCTCTATCGCATTATACACGAGGAGAAATAGTTCTAATGGGCCAACATGTCCATAGCTCTAGCAGGAAAGTTGTCCCTTCTTCTCAGGAAACCACCTTATATATCTCCCTGTGTTTACTTACGCTGAACTCCCGAGGGGGGATTTTTTCACTCATACATAACAAAGTGTCCATCTCCTGACCCTGATGAAAAGACTTCTTTTATCACTTTGTCCACTGGAGAGACCCTCGAGGCTGCAACCGGAATCATTAAAGCCACAGGATTTCACCACTGTTATGAAAATTATTGCACTCTGAAATCACTCATCCTAGACAAAGAACCTTTATGCCACTTTATCACAATGTTGAACATGTTCTTGAGCCTAAATGTAGCCTTAATTTAGGAATTACAGAAACATGTTAAACATTAATCACAGAAACATGTTCTTGAGCCTGAATGTAGCCTTAATTGAATATTTTATGAGAATGATCTTAGCAGTTATTGTATTAAGTTTTACACAAAGAGTATTTTTAAGAAACTTTGGTTGCTAGATGAAGATGAAACATTGGCTTCGTGAATGACATTAAAACAGAGCCATACAGAGTTTGGTGTTCTTTTGTAGTACAAACTAAGTCCTAACTCTTAATAGACTCAGAGCGAATTATCGATGTGTCCTTAAAGAACTGCAAAGTCTTAAGAAGGTTTAATGAACCTTTTCATTAAATCAGAACTGGAAAATAAACTTCCGTATTGTGCTTACAAATGAACCATTACTTGTGATGATATAACTTAACGTAACAGTCAATTTCGAGATTTAAAACTTAGTAGCCAAAAGCTACACAACGAATTTAACGCGAAATTGGCTCAAATTCTCACGGGCGTAACAATTTTAAATATCGGCAATTATAATGCAAAGCCGAAAAATTATAATCCTATCAGAGCTAGTGAAACCCAGCAACATAGCCACGAGAGTCAGAAACATGTTTTGTCTGACAATCCAAAAACCTCGCCTTAAATACTCTCAAACCTGATTTGCAATCTGGTAGGGAAACGGAAAAGAGAAATGGTAAATCATTAAACCTGGTTAGATTAACATAATGGAACTTTACAGCCATCTTGAAAGTAAGGCGAATGAGACACTGAGCTCAAGCAAAAAATGAGAGAAGGAACAAATTCAAAGTATTATAAACTGAATACTAATGTGGAATTTATAAAAAGGATAAGGGGCGCATTTCTGAGATTCGTTTCATTTATTACAAATCCTTCCAGAAGACTCTTTGTGCATATCTCTGACAATGATTAAATTTTTATCATATCAAGCCTAACGAAAAGTTTAATTTTTACAGATTTATAACATTCTTCAATCACTATTTAGAACGAAAGAACAATTTTCTGTTTTTATTATTTTTACTATACGAACAAAATCGCATCTTTTCGAAATAGGAAGTGCTAGTGCCATAACTTTTACAAATCAGAATTTTTTTACCCGATCAATTATTTATTAACTAAAACATAACAGTTGCCCATGAGCTATTTTCATCAATTTGAGTTTTTCTTTTATTTTATACTAGCAGCTACGCTGCCAGCCTTCGTCTGGCTTTTAAATGTACTGGAAAATTGCCTGAAGGGAACACCAAACTTTAAATTTAAAAACTGCGCAGAATTTTACTCTTCATCCAAAACAGATAAAGTTGTTCAGAATAACTTCATTGAAAATAATAATAATAATAATAATAATAATAATAATAATAATAATAATAAACCATACATTTAAAAAAAAGTATTACATATAACAAAATTAGAATGAAATAAGCAATATCCCTTAATACAAATATTAATTATCCAAATAAATAAATTAACCAACTTCCCTCAACAAACGTCAGTATCCAAGAGAAACAATAAATTTTTAAATTGCACAGAATTATCGCCCTCACTTTTTCAAGTGGCAACAGTGCTGATTTTCAAAAGTCAGCAGTGCAGTGTACAATTGAATGAAAAACTGTTGCCAAAACCACATTTCTAAAAGAATGAAACCATTCAAAATGACGCGATAATATCGAAGACATAAAATAAAAATAAAAAAAAAAAAAAAAAAGAATCTTATTCGAATTTTGAAAAAATCGCTTCGAAGTGCACTGGCTCTTATCTAGATGCACCTATATACCAAATTTCGTAGCCCTGGGTCTATTAGCTTACGCGCAGCACGAACGAAAGACACGCAGACTATTTCTTTTATTATATGTAGAGATATCATATACTTACACTAGTATATAATCCCATTACTAAAATATCTGTTCCGAATTTTTCATAGCGTCTTTCACGTTCAGGTTTTAGATATTAAGCTGAAATCTGAAAAATTAGATTACAAATATATATAGCTATTTTTCCCATCATCTTTCAGTTTACACATTTAAAAATAAGATTTATTATTAAATAAAACTCGCACTGTACAAACAATTATTCTGTATCGAAGTTGTAAGGTTTATCCTAAGTTTATAACAGGTTATTTTAAGTTTGTCACACTTTCCTATTCTCTTTTAATTTCAGCTTACAATTCCTTACCAGAATGAGTTTTTAGAATCACGTTAAATGCAAGCGAGAAGGAGTTGTATTTAAGTCGAAGTTCCACTGACTTCGATAGAAGGAATTAGATTTCCTGAATAGCGCGGGTTTGCTCTTGGGCTACGTTTCGCTACTACGCTCGGCCGTACTATGCCCTTGATAGCTTGGCTAGCTAATTTAATATTTTACCGGCCAACTCGTTTTAGGAATTGTGTTAGCTTCGGCTAAATCTCTTTAGTTGGTGATTAGTCAAATTCTGATTTCTTACACTTTTGAGTTTAACAGCTTTTCAAAAATATATGACATGAATCTTATTTTTACAGAATCGAATAAAACGATACTTTTTTATTCATCAAAATTCTTTTCTTCATTTTTCCTGAAATTTTATATATTTCCCTAAAAATTCCTTTCTAAAAATCGTGGTACGTAATAGGTTTTCATAGAATATATTTAGTGAAAATTTTGCATTTAATTTTTTAAAAATTTTTAATACAATACTTTCAGAAGTGCAGAAATCACTTTATTTGAGGTCGTCTTACATTCGAATCATTATGGCGTTTTAAAAGAATATAAAATGCCAAAATAATATAACTTTATTATACAGAAGAAATTATTATTAAGCTAGAAATAATCTTTAATTTATAATAATTATTGAATAATACTATTTGATTTTAATCTTTTTACTTTAAAAATTAATAAATGTCTTAAGAAATAGGGTTTGTAAATTATAGTACATGTATTTGCTAATTATAAATATTTTCAAATATATATATATTTTAGTAGCTTTAATTAATTTGTTTAAAAGGTAATTTTGTTCACATTTCAGTTATGAATTTGTTTTACATATGAAATAATACACATTTGTTGCAAAAAGGAAATCGAGGATTTTCTTTTCTTTTTTTTTTTTTTTTAATATAAAAAATTTTAGAATTTGAATTGAAAAAGAAACCACCTTGAAAATGATTCGATTGTTTAAATATAAAGAATCTCAAATACAATCACTGAAATTTGCATATTCATTCCAAAATTTTCTTGCTTTTCCGTATTTCAAATCTCAAAGCAACTGAGATTTAAAATGTAGTTATATTCGTATGGATTTCTAAATTAATCTTTAGCTAATATTAATAATATTTCAAGCCAATTTGTATTTATCAATAGTTTTTCTTATTCCTTTCTATGAACAATGAATTAGGCAGGATAAACTTTCCGCGATTCTGGCTTGTCGCCAAATCGAAAACGAGCCGAATCTGACTCACGCTTGGCGACACGATCGATACAACCGAGCAACCCTTTTAACAAACGAAAGAGAAAGTCCATCGGAAATCCGCCAGTGTCAAATCCATCACCGCTGGACTCTCCCGGTCTGCTGTATTCTGCGTATTGTTGCTAAGTTGGTGTTTTGGTATTCGGTTTGCTTCTGGTTTTAGAGATGGCCCAAGTGCAAACGAAAAAGACAAGTACTTCAGGTTTAACACTGACTGTTGTAAGTACCATGATTAAAAGTTTTCGAACAATTGTAGACAATTCTACATATGGAGTTTTATCTGTTTTGAATATCGGTGGTAAAAAGCAAGTACCTCCGGTAGAAAATGAGTTACTTCTCTATTCTGCGTTTGAGTTAGCTGCCAAAATTCGCAAAGCTCAGGTAAGTCGAATTAGAATTCCTTCCTATGTTATTTTCATGAATAATGATTCTTAACCACCGTATTGCGGTTTCGCAGACTGCAGTGTTTTTTAGCATGTTAGGAGCGTTATGTTAACGAAGAATTTATCGTTTCCTTTTTTAACTCTGTTCATACTATCATCTTAGCATTTTAAAATATGACTAACATAAATTAAATATACTTAGTAAAAATTAAAGTTTCAGAGTTTAAATCTAACTCGCATTTGAAGTCGCAGTACGGTAAAAGATTCGATGCTATTCTGACTGCGGTGCGTAGAATGCAGCTTTAATCTTGTCTTTAGCTTTACAGAAGCAAACCGCATTAGCTTCAATTAAAACTAATAATTTTAAAATGTAATTTCAGGACTCTTAGCGAGTGTATCAAGGCAGCTAAAAGACGCTTTGATTTTAAGTATTTGAATTTCCATAGCTGTCTTTCTTCGAACAGCTGAAAAATAAGAATATAAATTGATTTTATTGGCGTTCTTAGTAAGAGGTATGCAATGAAAGTTTGAAATTTCAAAGTTCTGATCTTAGCGTCTCGTGCTTTTTAATTTTTCTTTACAACTTGAAAATTCTAACTTGCATTGTATGATGTACGGCTGCTGTAATGTATGTTACATAATATTTAATTTTATAGAAAACTTTCAGGTATTTTTTGAAAATAATAAAAAAATTAATTTTTTTCCCGGTAGGTAAGCGGTATCTTTCATGTTGCATTGCAGTAATGTTCTTAAAAGAAATAATGAAAAAGGCATTTTAAATGTCGGTATTAGATTGATGTTTAATTTCCACCTCATCTGGAAATTGTAATTTTTTTTTTTTTTTTTTTGACAAAACTTAGCCTTGATTATACTCATCTCGTATATTTATGCAGGTTTCTGCGTTAGGTTACGCCCCGAAACGCTATTTTTATAGGAATCTCTGACAAATGGAAAGTCTCTCACTAGTTCGCATTTATAATATTGTTATAATGTTGACGCCTCGCAACTTCTTTAAATACTGAACGAAGATTTCTTTTGTAAAGAAGGAAATACTTTTTGTGTTAAATATACTCAAATAATATAGTTGTTTGCCTTCAGATTTCTTCAAAAGTCCAAAATCTGTCTTCCGTAAATTTCATTGTTTCCTGGTAAATAAAATAGCTGCAAAAACAGCTGCAGCTGTCTCGTGCAAAGGAAATTAGAAACTATTAATTTATTTGTAAATAAGGTTTAATTTTTTAATGAACATTGTTAAACGCTGCAGGGGTGATATGCATTTTGACATATAGCGTCTTTAGTTTTCGATAAAATTTCAGGTAGCGCCAAAATTTCAGCTCTAAAATAACTCAAACTAGACTGTAAAACGGTGCGAGTTAATTTTTGGAGGAATCTGTCACGAGTATTCAGTTCCAGAATCAATAATATATAGTATATATATTCCCTCAAAATTAATGTTTTGAGACACCAATCTAAGTTGAATTTTGCTTGAATTTATACCCTATTTATACTCTTCAGCTCAATAATAAATTGCTGCTGATAGTACTATGATTTACTTTAGATTTTCAAATAGTATTTATATAAGCTTTTTAAGAATTCCGAATTTTAAAATTTTATTTTCGACTCAATTTTAAATTTCTTCCTGTTAAATTTAAAATATCAGGCTAACAGACTTAAAATTCCGAAATGGCATTGTTCATACCTGAGGTGTTGTCTGCCATTATTCAAAAAGTGTACTGCATGAACGTGGCTTTCCTCACCGTCTCGCCTACTTTAGACACCTCTTTCTACTTCAGACACCTGTTCAGGTTTTGCGTGATGATTTAGGGTGTGTCTCGTATTACAAACTCGATATTCTACCATCTGATTCAATAGATAATGCATAATTAAGTAAAATTCAGCCTCTAATGATATATTATCTAAAAATTGTTTTCATTAAGGTCTCGTTACTTTTCGGTTTACCAGCGGCCAAAAGCCCGCTGCATGAGATTTTCGTGTTTTTTCGTATGTGTTCGTATACCTACTAGTGGACGAGTAGTAAAGTAGCTGAATACTGGTGGTTCGACCGAGGTCCAATTCCAGGCGAACGGGCTAGCTGCATGGTCGTTTTAGCCATATGTAAAGTGGATATACTATAATTTATTTTCGTCCACAAAGGCATCTTCCTCTTGGACAGGTAGCCTTTGTGTGCTTTCCCGAGATTAAACAAACCAAACCGCGTGTGTAATATTATGGGCTAATTTTCCCGTAAAGTGCTTTTCCACGTGAAATAAAAACATGTTGAAAATTTCGATACGGCTTTTTTGAGAATTTTAGTTGTAGACAATTATTCATAAATATTTATCTCGTAGGAAATGTACAACTTTAAAATATAATTTAAAACATTAAAAAACACGGAAAATGTAACAAAAACAGCCAGAAATGCAAATCACGAAATCCAAATCTTTTCGAATGAAAAAAAAAAAAAGTCTGTAAAAATCCACGTTTATCTTTAGTATAATTAGCTACAGAATATGGAATTTCTTGGAAAAATGTAATCTTTGTGAAAATGTAAAATATACATAAAATCATCAGACAGTAATGTAAATTTAATAACGAGTAAATTTTGTTGCAATAAAAAAATGCATTATACTGCACTAAAAGTGAAGCTTTAGATCGCGTTCCATAAATTTTGATATTTAATAACGAGGAATTTAAATTTTCATGAACGTCACATTGAATTTTTACTAATTTAAATAAGATAGCAAGGCATTGACCATTATTCACTGAAATGCTCATTATAATGGCTCTCTTTGCACGCTTGTACTCAAGGTATTTTAATCATTTTAGGTTTTTACATTCACAGCTTTAAAGTTCATTTTGTCGAAATTTGCGTTAACTTCGCATTATCATTCGGCATTTTCAAGCTGAACCTAGCTTCCTGATAATTCGAAATTTTCAAAACGGTGTTATCAATGTATTAAAAAAATCGAAATATGTAAACGCTGTTTACAAATTGAAAAATATACGCATAACAAGTTTAACATGTGTACTTGAAATTCTGTTTTTGATTTAATTAAAACAAGGTATAGGAAGCCCAATGTTTGAAAATTTTAACGTGAAAAAATTTACATTTCGAAAAAGTTTGCTACATATTATTTGGACCCAAAGTTGATTACTCTCATTGGTTTATCAACAATTTTCTGTACAAAAGGGAACACGGATTTATAGTCTCATTAGTCAACGTTTGTTTTCTTAGTCAGTAATGCATGTACAATTTTGACACTACTTGTATTTAAACTTTTCTCAACTTAAATTGCTTATTGTATTACGCTCTCCCAATTTCATTATTGCATGTTTAGTATACTTACAGTAAAGAATCTCTGATACCCTCATATATATATACAATTTAAGACCGCAGTAAGAGCTCAATTTGTTGCAAATTGGTTCGAAGCCATTTCTGAAAATTCATATCAGATACCCTGAGGAAATAATTTTTATAAAGCTGAAAATAAATGCATATCGCATTGCTGAAAGCATATGTTGCAACATGCATGCCTATTTAAAATGACTTTATCATTTGAATTGCATTTGAATTTATAATTTGAATTTCTTGCAGCGTTTACGAGCAGCTACTTCGCAGAACTATTTAGTTAGTAGCTTATACCGAGACGTGCCTTATATCTCATTTCAATTTATTTTTGTAATATATTCTTCTCAGGGAATTTTTACCTCCTGGATATTTCCTTGAAATTAATCTTTATTGAGGGGAATAGTTTTATAGTTTGTTACTATAAAAGGCAATTTGTCAACTATACTATGGCGCGTCATTCTTTTATATAAGTGAACTAGAGAAGGAATCTGGTTACATTGCTTTAGAATTTAAGCGAAAAATGTTAATTCTGATGTAAATCCTGGATTTTCGTTGTTTCAAAAATATTGTTAGTTTTCAAAAAAGGTGCTTGTTGGTTATATTTTGAATGAAAGCAAAAAAACTTCATCCGTCGTCTGCTCATTGCAAATGAAGCAAAGCAATTGTGATAACAGAGCCTGACGACATCGACAGACGAGCGGTATAAAATACGTAAGGTAATCTTTTTAATCAAATATTGCTGACTCGTAGTTTTAGAAAAAAAAGCCTTATTTTTTGGGAAAATTTGAGACACATCTTCCGAAACACTATGAGCACTCCTGATTTCTTGAAACCCTTTCTAGCTATTTATCTTTCAGCTCAAAGAATTTTCTGCAGTCGTCATGTTTATTACAAAACAATGTTCTTTTGAGAAGTTATGTCAGGAATGCATAAAAATGCATCTTGAATGTGATGTTCGAAAATGTATGGCAAAAAAGACTTAATTTTATATAGTTTCAAAAATTTATTCTAACCGCAGATACGGATGTTCGTTTTTTTATTAATTCAGAAATTTTAGGTGTGTTAACATAGATAACAAACATTTCGAAATTATTTCTCGTGACTTTGGTAACAAGTAAAATTTTTCGGCAATTTTATGGAAAATTCCGGCAAGGAATAAAGTGCACCTTCTGAAAACTCTAAAATCTCCGAAGTTTTGACCAAACTGAATTTTGGTTAAGTAGAGTTCATTACGCTTAAAAGGATGTTAATGTTAAACCATTGGTCGACTGTGTTTAATTTGCTGAATCATTGGCAGGTTTTAATGCTTGACTATTGATCTTTAATGCTCAACCACTGGGTTAAGACTGCCGAATATTTCCCTGGCAGACTTCCAGAATTCCGTGGCTGCATGAGTAGTTTGTTTCCTTGCATGTGTGAGTCTTTGCAGTTTTCCTTACTATATCCTCCACGAAGGCATCCTTCATGTTAAGCAGATAGACTTTGTGGAGTTTTCCCACAGTCAGATACTTAACTTTGAATTCTTAATTCCTTGCGACAATTACTGCAGTGCCAAAATCAATTTCAAGTGAATTTTCTGTTTATAAACTCCATTCATACATGTATTCTGCTCAAATATTTATCACAAAGAGCTTTGTTTCTTGCACTTA